ATGCTTACTTTCTTTGTGTCTAAGATTCAAGAGAATAATTTCATATGGTTGGTTTGGATATTAAAATCACACAGCTAACGCAGAGCAGGACCTGGTGTTTAAGGTCTCAAATGATAGCAAATACAGGGTGTCCAAAAAGAAGTATACACACTTTGTATAATTATTAATTCCAATGGGTTAAATCTGAAAAGAAAGAGACATCAATTGAGCTATCAGCTATTAAAGTGTGTATATATGATTTTTGGGGGGACGCCCTGTATATTTTGAAAACGTTCTAGCTACTTTAAAAGTTTTTAGCATTTAAGAGGATCTATTTATATTAGAACCGTGATTTAATTAAAATTTACATTTCATTCACTACAAGTATCTACTGCTTTTTGAAAGTTTACTTTATGCCACTTCACTTTTATAAAAGACCTACACTATTACATGTTTTTGCTAACCAAAAGAAATTTGAAAAGGATTTGTGAGTCTACAAAAGAATAAGAAAAGCAAAAGTAGTGTTCAGCATTGTTTGGCAGGGAGAGCATTTCAGAGGCAGCACTCACCCTGAGCGGGGAGAATGGTACCACTAGCTCCTTCCGCAGGAACAAGCCACCTTAGCTTTGAACTATGTGTGTGAGCATCGGTGCTTTATTTATCTCAATTTATTTTGTGTGTCCTAGATATGTCATAAGGTGGTAATTGCTTCTTCCCCATTTCAGTTTACGGAAGGTTTCATAGGAACACTCCATTTTCAGATAATGGGGGAAATGTATAAACAATCTTTTAAAAATTTGAGCAAATACATTTTGAAATACAGTACATATTTCTTAATTTAGCTTTATTGTTGAAAGTATTACAGATGTCCCCCTTTTTTTCCCGTTGACCCCTTCCACCCTGCCCTCATAGTACATACGTTTTAATTTCTTAGTCATGAATGTAGTGCATAAGTATTTCGTGTTTCTATTAGAGAAATGTTAATTCAAGTCATAGATTAAGCCATCAGAGCTCAGACAAGGTATAAATAAGAGTATTCTTTCCCTTTAGGTAGAACGAATCTCTCCACAAAGCTCCCTGAATCATTACCCTTTAGGCCTCCTGTTACATATGTTCCTCCTCCTACCCAAGGCTGGTGCCTCCACCAGGGCTCTGGGTTACATCCCTCTTGCTTTCACAAGTGCTTGGAGCTTCTATTATCCCCATCTGCCTCTAGACCAGTGGTTCTCAACCTTCCTAATGCCACGACCCTTTAATACAGTTCCTCATGTTGTGGTGACCCCCAATTTCATTGTTACAAACTGAACATAATTAAAGCATAGTGATTAATCACAAAAACAATATGTAATTATATATGTGTTTCCGATGGTCTTAGGCGACCCCTGTGAAAGGGTCCTTCGACCCCCAAAGGGGTCGCGACCCACAGGTTGAGAACTGCTGCTCTAGATTGTTAGCCTCTCCTTCCCAAGCATCATCCTTGCTCCAACCAGCAGCCTGCCCTTTCCTACAGGAATGATTCTTTCACTCTTAACCCAAAGCCCTTTCTGTTGCCAACTATTTCTCTGTTCCCCACCGCAACAAAAATTACAGTGGGGCCTTGACTTACGAGTTTAATTCGTTCCGAGACCGAGCTCATTAAGGAGCTCGTTAACTCAAATTACTCTGTCAACTCAATGCAAAAAATCGGCCTAGAGACAGCTGGTATCTCAAAAAACTCCTTAGTCGGGACACTCGTAAGTCAAGGCCCCACTGTACTCAGGTTTTACTTCCCAGGAACATCAGTTCTGTTTACCCAGAAAGGCCACTAGACATACTCCATATGCAATTCCGTTTAAGTTCTTCAACTTTCTCCAAACTGGTTTCTAAGACTGTCAGAGCTACAACTGAACCGTTCCTGCAAAGGGGAACAGAGAGCCTATTACACCAGCGAAGGGGCAATTCTTTGCCCTCAGCTGACTGGGCGGATGGGCAGCCTTCCCACTACTTTCTCTTTGAAATTCCCCACTCTGACTGGCAGGAATCCAGGCAAAAATGGAGGGCTGGAGTCTAAAGCTGCAGAGGGGCTTTCATACAGGCACCCAAAACTGTGAAGAGCTGAAACTACTTTGTGAAAATAATTTTTCTTTTCCTCATTATAACCTGGAAGGAAAACTGATTCACACAAAACCAGTAAAAATCGTTTATTATAAAACCACTAAGATTTCTCATAAAAGATCGAGTTTGCAATAATGTGAACGGCACAGAATTAAGAACCATTGCCCCACACCCTTCCTCAACCCCATTTTCATGGCACAAACAAAACTAGATGGAGCCCTTAGCCGCCTGACCTCCAGGCCAGCATTCCTTCCAAAAGCAATGCGGTCCTCTCCCGAGGTCAGCCACAAACAGGCTGGGCTTAAACAGAGCGCCCCGAGGCTCGCGCAGAACTTTGCAGCCGTCTGGCCCTAGTTCTGGCTAAAAGGAAAGCAGCTGGTCAGGTGTATGCTTTCTGGAGAATACCCTGGGGCGGTGGTTTTAAAATGCTGCCCTGCATCGCAATCACCTGGAGGGCTTGTTAAATCCCAGGTGACAGTGCCCCGCCCCTAGAGTTCTGATTCTATGGGTCTGGGGTGGGCCCCGGAGTTTGCATTCTTAACACATTTCTAGGTGAGGCTGATTCTGCTGAGTCCTAGCAACGTAAGTGACGTAAGTGACAGGGCGGGCCCACAGAAGAGGTTTGGCGGAAGACAAGTCCCCTAGAGTGCTACCCTGAAGACTCCCCAGGGGCTGCCAGCCCTGGCGTGCACATATCCTAAACTTCCCACATTCGGGTCTAGCCATAGACTCGCCTACCGCATCTCGCTCTTCGTCCTCCGGAGCCAGGACCCACACCCTGGGGTTAGACTCCATGGAACTGGCCCAGGCCCTCAGGCTAGAGAACTGGAGCCAGAAAGATGTGGGGAAGTGAAGTGCACCTTTCTGGGCCCCTGGGCAAGTGAAGCGCCCCCACCAGGACCCCTGAAGTCACTCACCTCGATTTCGGCGGGCCCGAAGCTGGACAGCCATGCTCACAATCAGGGACGTCACAGTGCGCCCGCGCAAGGGCTGTCGGATAAGGAAGAGCAGGACTCTGCATCTGGAGACCGTATTCATCCGGATTAAAACGCCGAAGCACCTCTCGTACGCGGCCAGCCTTTGGGCCCTCGGGTCTGTGCAGGGAAGCGGGCACTGAGCTATGGGAAGGGGTAGGATGCGCCTGGCAGGACCTCCAAGGGCATGCGGTCCGGGCTCACTCACCAGACAGCGTCGGAATCATCCACAGTTCGAGGTGAACGACCTCTGAGAAAGGGTCGTCTTGTAACAACGTCAGGACTTGGTCGCGAAGAATCCTCGTGAGCCAGCCCCAGCGCTGGCGGCGGAAGCGGGCACTGAGCTATGGGAAGGGGTAGGATGCGCCTGGCAGGACCTCCAAGGGCATGCGGTCCGGGCTCACTCACCAGACAGCGTCGGAATCATCCACAGTTCGAGGTGAACGACCTCTGAGAAAGGGTCGTCTTGTAACAACGTCAGGACTTGGTCGCGAAGAATCCTCGTGAGCCAGCCCCAGCGCTGGCGGCGGCGCGGTGAGCAGG